CCAGGAGGGGTATAAAGTGCAAGCATGCTAGACGTGCCCCATTTTTAATAAAGAAAGCCCAGCCACGTATGTTGGGGTTTTTTGTTTATCTGGACATCTTTTAGTTCGTGATCACAACTACGTGCATAATTCTGCTCTCGGGTGAATCTAGGGTAATTCAGTGAAGTGAAACCAGATTTACAGCAACTGAGAGCTGAAGGCAAAATTCTCCCCTCTGCCAGTAGTGACGACAGGATCAAAACCTTGCCCAGGTGCTGCATAAAGGGGCACCTCAGACATCATCAACGCTTTAGGACCACTTAGGACAGAAGAATCCCAGTCACTGTTACAGACTAGGGACTGAATGGCTAGGCAGCAGTTCTGCAGAAAAGGACTTAGGGGTCACAGTGGACGAGAAGCTGGATATGAGTCAACAGTGTGCCCTTGTTGCCAAGAAGGCTAACGGCATTCTGGGCTGTATAAGTAGGGGCATTGCCAGCAGATCGAGGAACATGATCATTCCCCTCTATTCAACCTTGGTGAGGCCTCATCTGGAGTACTGTGTCCAGTTTTGGGCCCCATACTACAAGAGGGATGTGGAAGAACTGGAAAGAGTCCAGCAGAGGGCAACAAAAATAATTAGGGGGCTGGGGCACATGACTTATGAGGAGAGGCTGAGGGAACTGGGATTGTTTAGTCTGCAGAAGAGAAGAATGAGGGGGGATTTGATAGCTGCTTTCAACTACCTGAAAGGGGGTTCCAAAGAGGATGGAGCTCGGCTGTTCTCAGTGATACCAGATGACAGAACAAGGAGCAATGGTCTCAAGTTGCAGTGGGGGAGGTCCAGGTTGGATATTAGGAAACACTATTTCACTAGGAGGGTGGTGAAGCACTGGAATGCGTTACCTAGGGAGGTGGTGGAGTCTCCTTCCTTGGAGGTTTTTAAGGCCCGGCTTGACAAAGCCCTGGCTGGGATGATTTAGTTGGGAATTGGCCCTGCTTTGAGCAGGGGGTTGGACTAGATGACCTCCTGAGGTCCCTTCCAACCCTGATATTCTAGGATTCTTTAACTCATACTCTGCAGAAGGCCCCCTGGGATCCTGATCCAGAGTTCAGCAGATGGCAGGACGTGGGTGGGTACTTCCTGTGCTTTACCCCTCCACAACCCTTGGGAGGATTTTAACAGATACAGGCACGGGAAATGCTCTGCACAGGCCCTGTGCTCTGTCGAGGAGGGGGCTCCAGGGATAGTGGCCAGTGAAAGAGCCATGCTACCAGGAACCAGGAGCAGAACAGGGAAACCAGGGGGAGAATATATCACCATACATAGCAGGAAGGATAGTCCAGGGGATAGAGCATTGGATTATGAGTCTGGAGACGTGGGTCCAATTCCCAGCTCTGCCACAGACTGCCTACGTAGCTTTGCGTAAGTCGCAATCTACTCTGGGCCTCATTTCCCACCTGTAAAATGGAGCTAAAACTTCCTTACCTTCCAGGGTGTTCAGAGAATAAAATCCATCCATGACTGCCAGGTGCCCAGTGATATGACCCAGGTAGGGTTGCTACCCATCCAGATTTTACCAAGACAGTCCAGTTTTTGGCTTCTGTGTCTGGGTACCATAGGTAAGTACCTAAATAGACTGGGCCACTGGACAGACAGCTCTAACCTACAGTGCTTTCCCCAAGAACCACAAAGTCAATGGGCCAGAACCTGAGCTGATGTAAATTGGCATAGCTTTAATGAAGTTCCACTGATTGACACCAGCTGTGGGTCTGACCCACTGTAATTAATTAAGAAACGGCAAAAATGGCTTATTTGTATCTGGAGACATAGCTGTGGGAAGGGCATGCACAGCTCTGAGCCCTGGCTCCAGGTTGGATTGGATTAAATCCACCTTCATAGATTTCATTTCTCAAGCTGCATGCAGGTGGAGTGGTTTTCACCAACGGCGCTACTCTGCATTTCACTGGTGACAGGGAGATCAGGGGCAGACTGAATTAAGGTCAAGCAGGAATTTTCTTCCTGTATATTTGGAAACAGCTTAGCAAAACTGAGGCTGCTACCACAATATAAATAATAAGTTCTCATCGTTTGCAGTAACAGGATGTAGACAAAATTATTGCCCATACCGACCACCCCATGGAACCCAATTGATTTCAAAACATGAAGATTACCATGTGTCATTCTCAGGATAACTTAATATTGTGCTAAACCACCCTAAAATTATTCATCTTTGTACTGAAGACAAGTGTTGAGAATTTCAATCTGAGTCTAATTCTGTCCTGAAAATCATAAGTGTTCGTAAAAATCATGTGTCCAGTCCAAAAATCATGAAATCAGCTTAAATATCATGGGGGGGGGGTTGGGTTTTTTTTTTTTTTAACTAATAAATTTAGGTCCTATTTTTATTTGCCTTCTGGTATCTGAGCTGGCTTTTCGGGTTAACCATTCACTTAACATTCCCAAGCTTTCCTATGCAACCATGAGGACTAGAAGCTTATTTTTGTAGGAAAGATGAGATTCTCATGCAATCTCTTGATTCTAATAGCTGTAGCTTCAACAAAATACTAAATTTCAAAATCATGAGAACTGGCAAAACTGCATGCGTTACTGAAAGGAGGAGTTTCAGGAGGATATATTATCATAATAGTAACTGTAGTATCCCTGCAACAGTGATATAATAAATGTAGCCATAAAATTCTTGAAGTGAATAGAAGCTGAAGAATGGTATTAGATAGGGGGGTAAATATGATGCAAAGGGGTTATTCCAGTACATATACTAAATCCAGACAAAGTTCTCACTGACAGGAAGTGTTGCATGCGGAAAGGTTTCTCCTCTGCTTCCTGCAGAGATGTGTATGTGTCCATTCCCTGAACCTTCCCCTCAAAGGATGTCCTGAGAACAACAAATTTGTCTTGAAAAACCTGGCTTCCCAAGGAATAGCCCACCTTCCTCGGATCTTATTTTAAAATTAAATCTCCCCACTTCCAAATCTGTATGCCAAGCTGAGAGTTATTTTAAATATTTACACCAGGCTGATCTTTAAAAGAAATACTACATAAACGAGCGGATTGGAGCTTTGCTGATTGTAGAGGTGATAAATGGGTTGGGGAGGTAGATCAGAAAGATACTTCTCGCCACTTGAAAAATACTGCCAATATATTAGGCCAAACAGACAATTGGGCTAATTGGACCTCATGAATTTTTATGAAGCCCCATGAAAACGAAGGAAATTTAGGGACTTCTGGCAATTCAAAAACCAATTCTGCCTGCCTGATTCACTTTTTATTGATTTGGGCAAGCTAATTTAAGAAACAAATCCTTCTCTATTGACTCAATTACAAGTTGATTTGGTATTCATGGGTCTAGCTTATGATTTTAAAGCAAGGGAGGTAGTTGGAAAGTAAATCTGTAAATATATAAAGCTTCTCTGGGTAATGGAAAAAGAAAGCTTAGGCCTATGCTTAGAGCAGTTAGCGTCTTCCCTGCTCCGGATTGCACATGCACATACAAATCTATGGGACATTCGGGCTGTTATGATTTCTGCACTCATGTCTGTATTGCTGAAAATACAATACTGCTTTCTTATGCTGGGGAAAAAAATACTAGAAAGGGTTGGCACCATAGAAAATAATATTTCATCCAGTACCTAAAAAATCTTCTAGTTAGCAGGACATTCTCCATTCAGATCTTCACAGCTGATCTTAACTCCATATGTTGTTCTGCTGGCATGTGATCATTAAGATGCCCACACATGTAATAATAATACCTAGCTCTTATATAGCACTTTTCATCTGTCTATCTCCAAGCGATCCACAAAGGAGGTCAGTATCATTATCCCCACGTAGGGAGAGCACATTACGACAGTCAAAATCCTCCATGCACATCTCAAAGGGCAACTCTGCCTTTAGAGCCTGATCCAATTTCCATTAACATCAATGGAAAGAACTCTATCAGGCCCCTAGTGCCGTTCACGAGAAACTCTCCGTTCTCTACAATCGCTTACATGTCTGAAGTCAAAGACAACTACAGTCAGCTTTTGGCAATCGGTGACTTCTGGCGTACAACCAAGCCAAATTAGGCCTCTGTTTCCATATATATATAAATTATTGTCATTTGCATGACAATCAGTAGCCAATCAAAATTCGATTCCAAGATGACATTGCAGTCGTTTACAGCTGCTGACTGTCTACAACTCCAGGGATGGTATTTCAGAACCCTCTCCTGATTAAAGACTCCTATCCGTCCCACTCAGCAACGCGTGCGGGAGCTGGGGGTTCCCAGCAACTCACAGGAATGCTCAGCCCCTGGCAGGATTAAGCCCCACATTGTTCATCAAAATTCTCTGTGCAATTGCAGTATCAACCCCATCCATACAAGGCAAAACCACAACAAAGAACAACCCCCGGGGATGATGGATCTCTTAGAATCACAAAAAAGCCCTTACTTGCATTCCTCACTCTCATGGGTGAGCCCATTGTTTTCACTATGGCTACTCACAAGATGCAAATAAGGCCAAATATAAATAAAGATATTACAGTGTTGCCAACGCTTGGAATTTTATTACATGACTGTTTGGAGTTTGTTTGTTTTTTGAAGTGCCAGCTCCTGGAGTCATGTGAGACCCTCAGCTTTCATTTAAAACAAAGAGTAAATTCCTAGCCCACCACAATTGCAGAGAAAAGCATGTAAACATGACCCAAGTGCATCCCAATGGCTCTAAAAAGAGAAGGGAAAAGAACTCAGAGTTTATCCCTTTTAAAAAATGTCGTGATTTGGGGCGGGAGGGTCTGACTCATGTTGTTTGAACACGTGGGGCTGGCAATGCTGCAGAAATAAATCAATCCCTGACCATGCAGCTCCATTTTTTCCAATCACAGCTTGTTGTTTTGTTTTGTTTTTTTCCCCCTCCTATTGCCAACAATTCCCTCAGGGGAATTTTCAACACAGAAATCTACATTCAAAATGGAAATGATTAGTGCTGCTCTTGGCTTGAGAAAGCAAACGTCTGAGACTTACCCCATTTTTCGGGTAGGCTATCCATCCCAGATCCCCCATGACTGTGCGTGAGTCCAGTAAAGTCACTAAACAGAAACGAGAAGAAGAAAGCCTTAATGAGGCTGCATGGATACAAGCGTCAGTAAACACATGAGACTTTGCTGGCCCTGGGAAGGGCACTTGGCAATTAACAGAAAGGGAATCCGATTGCTGTTAAAATAAGATACAATCAAGACAAGTTATTGCAATGTTTAGAATAGAATCCTGCAGGCATTTAAGCAGATGCCTAACGTTACTCAGGTAAGCAGTTCAATTACTTGTATTACCATAGCACCTGGGAGTGCCAGCTGTGCGCCAGGATCCTGTGGTGCTAGGCGCTGTACAAACCCAGACATGTCCGTGTAACTCTCTGCAAGATTGGGGCTTCAGACTAAGTTCTTTGGGGCACGAGTCAGTCTTTTTTATGACATGCGTACAATCCCTAGCATCCCTTGATGCCCAAATGGGATTACGGCAGTATAAAGAATAAACAACCAGTAATTTATAAATGGAACAAAGAGTGCAAATTATTCTGTTCATATAAAGTTGCAGCTCACTTTAAAAATTAATGAGCGGGCCCCTTTTATTATTTTGTAAAAATGGTGGTGAGCAGGAAGCAGTCTTTACACAACGCTGTCGGAAAAAGTTCCAGCCTATTTCTTCACTAAAGACTGTACATCTCTGGAGTAAATTGCAGGCTGCTTGACTGTGGCTAAATTCACTGAATTTTGCCCTGGCAAGCCACACAAGCAATTAAAAAAACAATTTACATTAAACAGCAATAAACTATTCCCAAGCTTATAACATTTTTTCATGGATTCCCTAAAATCTGTAGTCCAAACAGTGAGTGTAATTAAAAAATAAATCTACACACACTTAGCCAAGCTAAGAAAAATTGCAGCAGCTCTTGGTGCTGTCTCTGTAGTTAAGAGTCTGTTGTGCTTTGCATTATTAGCTCCGTTTTTAGAGCTGTAAAACTGTCGGATACAAATGGTCTCGGGACTGAAACTTGTCATACAAAGTTGCAGACAAAGAGGAAACTTCTCTTCCATGAACAGATGTCCTTTTCACAATAGATTTTATATTTATGCCACACAACCTCACTTTCCTCATTCAAATCCCTCCTCAAAGCCACTTCTTTCCGGCAGCCTTTCATTTCTGACCACCACACTGATTATAAAAATAAACTCAGACCGCAATTTTCAAAACTGGGTACCTAAAATTAGGATCCTAAGTCATTGGTTAGGCATTTAAATAAACAAGGCTGATTTTCAAAAGGTACTAAGCACTCAAATAAACCTCTTGTAGACAATGGGAAACAGCTGTGCTCTCAGCACCCTTTGAAAATTACGCCACTCATTTGGAGTCTAAACATTCACTCCAAAGGGGAACTAACACAATGTGTATGTAACATTAAGCATGTCATAATATGCTACATTATCTCCATAGCTCTCCCATCAATCCATTGTGCTTTCTGTCTGCACACAGATAATCAAGTGGACCAATGAAAACTCTTGACATGTGTATAGCCCCCCACATACACACACTCAATTCAGCCAATTGGACTGCAGTATGCAAATTAATGCAAGAGGAATACTGAGGATTGGTTGAGTACCTTTGACGTCACAATGCCACTACTTGCAAATGACCTGATCAGCTGTACTTGGCTGGTCAGTAATTACAATTGTTTACATCCGATCATTAATAATTTGTTTTCATTAGAACTTAGTTTTTCAAATATGCCCATTATTCACAGATCAGTCAATGAGATTTACATTTGTGGGAAGCTTGAAGGTTTAGTAACAAGCCATTTGTTAACTAGAAGGATGCGAAAAAAAATTAGATTAAAATAAAAAGCAATTTTTAAAAAAAAATCTCAGAGGAGACTGTTTTAAATTACTGAAATACAGATTTAACTGAAACAAATCCTCAGCAAATTCAGTCTTTGCTCATAGATTATGTGCTGTAAACTGGGGGGAGGCCCGCTATGGCTTTTTTAAAACAAGGAGCTTAAATTCCCCTACTTGAAGTGAAAAAAATGACCCCAACCTTAACTCTGGAGCCACAGTCAGTACCTATAAACTAGCCACTTAGCTAGCGATTCACACAGTGTTCATCACCATGGTACCTGGGTGCCTTCTCACAAGAGCAGGCACCTAGATTGTGTCTAAGCTAATACATTTCCATGAGAGTGTAGCAAGAATTCTCTAGCCCCTTTCAGCCGCTCAGCTGCTGGGTAGCTGGGCTGCTTCCAAGTTTATTCCTTCCGGTTAAACAAAGGCAAAATTGGGACTTTGCTATGCTGCCAGTCTGGAGCGCCATAAGACCAGGAATGACTTCCTGGAGGATGCTGGGGTATAGTCAGGATCCAGCCCCCCCTCGGCTGCCTGTTTAACCAACCAAATGATTTAACCCAATTATTCTCCACTGCTCTGGATGTTATTGTATAAGAGTCAGATTCTGCTGCCACTGAATTCAATGGGAAAAATCCTCCTGTTGACTTCAGTGGAAGCAGGATATACCTGGAACAGGAAATCCAGTACCCAGGTACTGTTATACAGTGGTGCAGCTTCTGCGCTCATAATACACAGCAAGCTTACACAAAGAATACACATAAATATGAACATTTTAAGTAACTCTCCCAATTGTATGGTTGCAACTTGTCAAAGAGGATTGTTGAAACAAAATGGCAGAGTCACCAATAAATCCCACTACTACAATTGTTGTAATTAAATTGCTCAGAACAGTATATTCTTGTTGTAAAGTGCAATGGGGGCACAATGACTATTAATTTACATTGTACAACTTAATTAAAACTTACTTGTCCTGGAGACGCCACTAATGAGTGTAATTAGATGGAATGTTTGATACCACACAGTTGCTTTGTAAGACATTAATTAAATATCCACAAAAAGGGTACGAAAAGGTGTTTTTAATCCAACATCAATTTCTAAGAGGCATGTGATACTGCAGTTAGGTGTAATAACTTTCGAGGCAGTTATCAACCGCAATAAAAAAATAAGTTTCCATACAGAATGACAAGAGCTCACCCAACTCCCACTGAAGTCAATGCGAATCTTTCTACTAGAGAGGTAAATGAATGGAACCAAATCTTAAAACCCTACTCAGTCCTTCCACAGATACAACTCCCACGGAAGTAAAAAAATGAGCAAAATCTCCAGAATTTGGCCCATGATTCCACTGAAATTATGGCACAGTGCAAAATGCACAACCGGGGGGTATGGTGGCTTTAAGCTACCTTTTTGTGCCCTCCTGATTCTGGGCTGCTTCAGGGGATGGACAGGCGCCCGGCCTCATTTAGACAGGTCTGAGGTGCTATCTAAATTATCCCAGACTCTCCTGGCTGTGCTTTCAGGAACTGCCCCAGATCTCTGCAACTGTGTGCACTGTGGCCTCCAGCACATTATCTACACCAAGGCTTGTGATGGGGTCCTCCCAGCTTTATGGCAGTCTTCTGCAGTGCCAGCACTGTGGGGGATCATCCCATGGCCACACCCAGGATTTTAGGGCTCCTTTATGGTGCTATGGCTCTTTTACCCAGCATAAAAGGGTCGACCTGGGGGTAAAGATTTCTGCCCGAGTTTTGTATAAACTAGCAGAAAATTTGTGTGGCAGACAAAACCTGCATGAAGAGGGCTGCTTATCTAATAATGATTCCTACACTTTCCCTGTATTATCTTCCAAAATGCTGTGATACACTGATCTACTTCAAAGAATATTTTTAATCAATAATCAGTCTACATTGCCTGAAAAGGCAAAAATACTGCAAACAAAAAGGCTTATGTAAGCACTGATTATAACCACTCCACGCAGATGTGAAATAAATGCACTTCTTTTTGCCTTGTGCCTATTTTCAATTGGTTTTGCTTGCTCCCTTCTACCTGTATAAGCATCAGACCTTCTTACTACCCTGTTTCCTAGTCAAAAGCCCGGATACAGCGGTCATTCTTTTGCTCCGAAAAACCAGATGCTCCTGCGGCTTTAACTAAAGGCAACTCTCCTTTAGATACAGCAGTCTTTGGGCTTGTCTCATGACACACACTTGAGCAGGTATGACATTCCATCCCACAATCATCAGTGCAACACACCTTTTAACCAACACATTACACACACACACCACTCCAGGCCTCAATTTGGCAACATCCCACATTATTCATAATAACCAGCAATGCTCAGTTAGCCAGGCTTCCATCAGAACCAATTCAAATCAAACTTAGGAGTTGGCATGGGAGGAATGATCCCAAATTAGGCCCCCATCCTAAAATGTGCTTAAATTCATCCCTGTTCAGGACAGCACTTGATCATGTGCTTAACTTTCCCACTGAAGTCAACAGGATTTCAGTCCATGTTTAATCATGTGCCTAAAGTTAAGCATGTGCATAAGTACTGTCCTTAGCAGGCAAGATTTCCTGAATTAGAATCCTAGGCTCTAATTCAGTGCTCAGAAATCTGATGCCCACGTTTGTGCCCTGTAGTTTTTGCGCAACTTGAGGAGTTCTTCCACTGATAGAACTCCCAAAATCATTAGCGACCATCACTAATGCCTGATGTGTAGAGGTACGGGTCCTCCATAAGTCTAACAGCATTTAAATAGGAGTGATTTATTCATACCACTACTACTCAGCATCAGCTAGAAGAATGTGCTGAGTATCTCAAAGACGCAGCAAGAACCCACACAGCCCATAGGCACACACACTTACTCTCAGACATTTTTGCCAACCAGCTTAAAAACAGAGAACATGAAAGAGCAAATAAGTGCAAAACTTCTCATCTTCACCATAAGCACACCCCTCCCGCAAGCCCTAATTATTATTATTTTAATGGAGATATCCCATCTCCTAGAACTGGAAGGGACCTTGAAAGGTCATCGAGTCCAGCCCCCTGCCTTCACTAGCAGGACCAAGTACTGATTTTGCCCCAGATCCCCAAGTGGCCCCCTCAAAGATTGAACTCACAACCCTGGGTTTAGCAGGCCAATGCTCAAACCACTGAGCTATCCCTCCCCCCTTATCTTTAATGCTCGATC